CCTATCTCTTACATGAAATTATTTTCCTCAATGTTACCAGGCTGATCCTCTTCCTCTGTCTCCTCATCACAGTGTGAAGTCATGTAGCCCTGTATCATCCTGGCATAGTCTTCACCTGCTGCCATCAGCTGACTGTGTTCACCCTTCTCTGCTATCACACCATCCTTCATCAGGACAACCTGGTCACACAGGTGCAGGTACTGCAGGTAAAGAACAGATTTTACAGCTGACTGTGTTCACCCTTCTCTGCTATCACACCATCCTTCATCAGGACAACCTGGTCACACAGGTGCAGGTACTGCAGGTAAAGAACAGATTTTACAGCTGACTGTGTTCACCCTTCTCTGCTATCACACCATTGTTCATCAGGACAACCTGGTCACACAGGTGCAGGTACTGCAGGGAAAGAACAGATTTTACAGCTGTGTTCACCCTTCTCTGCTATCACACCATCCTTCATCAGGACAACCTGGTCACACAGGTGCAGGTACTGCAGGGAAAGAACAGTTTTACAGCTGTGTTCACCCTTCTCTGCTGTCTGAGTTACAATTACTGGAGGTAGTGCAGGTTGAACTGACTGGCCTAGTAGTGGTTAGATAAGTGAACACAAGATCGAGAGGTCATGGGTTTGATTCCTGGCTAGTTATTGTGTCCTTGGGAAAGACTCTTTTCTCCACTCAGGTGTAAAAAGGATTCCTGAATTAAGTTGGGGAGGTAAAAGGAGGTACTGTGCCCTGGACAAAGCAACCAACAACCAACTGCCCCTATTGTCCAAAAAGGCTATACCTTTACCTTTTCAAATTGCCTTTACCTCAGACATTGCCACTCAAACTTTCAAGGAACTAAGTCACTTCTGCCTTTCCTACTATGCTACCATGAAAAGTTAAGACTCAAGCTTAAAATCCATTACAAATTTATCAGACTCTCTTACAAATTTACCAGACACTCTTTTGGCCCAGATACCCTTTTCCGTTGAGCATAATTGGCCATTTTAATTCTATGTACAGAGTGGAGGGACCAACCTAATTCAACGTAGAGCTTAATTGACGCATTTTGCGTAGAGCGTGATTTGCTGCTTTGATTCTACGTAATGCGTTGTAGCTACGGTAACCTGGAATTCATTGTAAAATGTAATGGGGAGGCCTCCTTAATTCAGTGTAATACGTAGCTGGCTTTCTCACGCTTTAGCATATAGCGTTATCAGAAGCCCCACATGCAAGCCCTTTTTAATGAATTACGCAAAAAAAATTAGAAGATAGCCCTTACCTGCAGTTGATGAGTGACAAACAGCACAGTTTTGTCCTTGAGAGCTCCCATGATGCAGTGGGTGAAGATGTGCTGTCCCACGTGAGCGTCCACAGCGCTGAGTGGATCGTCCAGCAGGTAGACGTCCCTGTTACTGTAGACAGCCCGCGCCAGACTGATGCGCTGTTTCTGACCTCCACTCAGGTTTATCCCTCGCTCACCAATCTGCACAGGAGAGTTGGCCAAAATATCCTGTCATCTTTTAATGATAAGGGTAGGCTATGAAAGAAAGAAAAGAAAGGTCTCCCATGCCCTTATGCAGAACGTAGAGTGGTGCCCATATCCATTTCTGTAGCCCTTGGGCGACACACAGTAGTGCAATGCACTACAGGAGGGGGCTAGTCCGCTGGTAGTGCTGTGTGTTTGACTTTCCCACACTCTTTCTCATATGTGCTGAGTACTAAGCAGAGAAAGAAGTGTGTACCATTTTTAAAGTCTTTGGTATGACCCGGCCAACTCACGACCTCCCGGTTACAAAGCGGGCACTCTACCAATTGAGCTATTACACCGGTAAATTAGGCTATGATGCCTAGAATTATATTTTGTCTATAGGCCCTGGGGTTTTCTTTAACAAAACCAAACTATTCCTTCCTTGCTTACATTGTACATTTTGGTGTTTATCACAGATCTTCCTCAGAGCTTCTGACTTATTGACTATAGTTCTACTTCTCACCCTATATGTAGCCGATGTAGGTGATGCTTTTGTGGCAAGAACCCAATCCCAAACGTGTCTGAGCTTGTACATCACCTTGTCCCAAGTCATCTGTCTTATCCCTACCGCTTCTTTAATCCATCAAATTTTTCTGTTATCTTCTCAGGGGTCGAAATAGATTTTGGGGCCAACTTGCACTGGTGCAAATGAAAAGAAAAATACTTGCACCGGAAGAAAAATAGTTGCACCCTCCAAAAATACAGAGGTGATGGGAAACATCCGCTGGCAGCGACGTAGATAGTAACCTTCTGTTACTTACAAAAAATGAAGAAAAACTTCATGGATTCTGGTTTTGTTCCTTTCCACTCCAGTTCTTTATATTAATTAATATTATTGGGTAATTCTACAGGTAGTAACAGTGGATAAAGCAAACTTGCACCATTGTGCAAGCAGGCAAAAAATTAGTTGCACGACACCAAATTTACTTGCACCAAGTTGCACACAGAGGGTTATTTCGACCCCTGCTTCTGTTCTAGGGGGGGTACAAACTCAGCCACATTTGGGATTGTATTCTCACTGCAAAAGTGCCACCTACATTGGCTATATATAGCGGCGAGAAGCAAACTTTAGTCAGAAACTCTGAGTAAGGTGTGTAAAAGAAAAACCCCTATTTTCTATACTCTATCAACCTGATGAAACTATTTTTGGAACTAGAATTAGTCTCCAACATAATGTTAAAAATATCTGACATCTCACATCTCCATGTACAACTGTACATGCATGTGTACATCATACCTCTGTCAAGTCTCCTGCTGGCAGCACTTTAAGGTCATGACTCAAACAGCAGATATTCACAGTCTCCTCATACCTACACAAGGTAAACAAGAAATCAGAGATGCACACCTCAGGGTAGTGTTCTGAACATTTGTAAATGTTTTTGATCTGTACTGTATGATCACTCGCAAATCCAATGGCGAACCCAATCAAATCACAACAGAGAATCAATCATTACTTATAAATATAATATATACAATAGACAAATTAATTTTTTCCATTATTACACAATGCTTTATGTTTCATACCATGATTACACAGTACACATTCCTGACAAACCTATACCACATCCTACCATGCTAAGAACGGCACCACCCAAAACAATACTTCCATTCAGTAGTGGATGGGATTCTTAGTAAAATCAATGTGCTATGTGAGTTATGGTTACTGCAATCTTCATCTGCTGAACAGAATTGTTCCCTTTGCCAGGGCTCCAGTCAGCTCCAAATCTTTTTCCGTCAACCGAGGTTCATGATTGGACCCAGCTGGGGGAGAGAGCTGGGGGAGAGAGCCCTGGGACAAGTTTTGGATTTTCAAACCTTTAAATAAAATTTTGAGAAGCAAATCGTGAGTTGGTGGTGGTCCTTTGGATATTTTATTATATTTAGCTATGGGACAAGATCAACCCACAGGACAGAGACAAGTGGCGTGCTGTCATCAAGCCCCAGTTGTACTGTGCAAGCACGTCTAACCCTCGGAAGACGGGGAACAACAGACGACAAACTGGACAGTGAGTGAGTGTGAGTGAGTGAGCTAGGATTTTTGTCAATTTTGTCCATCAAGGTTGACAGATTGGTCTAAAAACTTTTCCGTAACACGCCGCAATTGACAAAAAAATGGGTGCTGGCTAGAGCCCTTCCCTTTGCATGGAACAAACCTCTGTTGGTCATAGTCCTCTCCAAACAGGATGTTGTCCCTGACAGAAGCGTTCATGATCCAGGCCTGCTGGGCCACGTAAGCCACACTGCCTGTCAGTCCTACTGTTCCACATACCACACGCATCTGACATGAGGAAATGAAGAACCCGAACATCGCATGACAATTCCGTGATTTTAGGAGCACATCATCCTTAAGTTTGTACAATGTACAAATGTATTGTGCATAGCACTTATACACCCAGGCAAAACGTCTCGTCTAAGGTTGAATTTATGTATTAAAGATGACATACCGTCTATAGTTCTCAAATATTGTGTCAGAAAAGATATTATTCGCAATGGGCAAAATTCTGGTGCACTGTTGACCAAACATCCATCGTAAACCAAAAAAAAATCTAGCTTTTGTGCTGGCACAGTACATTCTGTTAACATGCTGATTTTACGTTTATAAAATAGTTAGGTTACGGTTTACTATGTGATAATGTATGCATGTATGCAGGCAGGCAAATTAACGTTTCCATTAATCAAGTTATCTCATCATTAGAACAAAATGCTGGTTGATTGGCTCTTTTTATTTTATTGATTCATAGGTAAGCTCATTTTTTGCTGATTTGAAGAAAGTCTCATACCTGACCCAGGATGCCTGAGATGAGAGAACTCTTCCCACTGCCAACACTTCCACAAACACCTAACAATGTACCCTGGGGAAAAGGAGTAGACACCAGTAAGACTACATTTGATTAGTGTTCAGCACCAAGGACAAGACCTACTGTACTTATAGTTTGAGTTCAAAACAGAATTTAGTGTTGTCCGTGTGTGTGTGTGTGTGTGTGTGTGTGTGTGTGTGTGTGCACGCACTCAGCACCAAGGACAGAGCCTGGTGTATTCCATGTCTGTTTATTTGTGTGACAGTTTATGTGTGTGTGTACATGTGTGTGTGTGTGTGTGTGTGTACATGTACGTGTGTGTGCGTACATGTGTCTGTGTGTGTGTTTGTGTGTGTACATGTATTCATATTGTGTTTGTGTATGTACATGTATGTGTGTGTGTGTGTGTGTGTGTGTGTGTGAGTGTGTGTGTGTTCAGCACCAAGGACAGAACCTGGTGAATTTCATGACTGTTGTTTGTATGTGTGTGTGTGTGTGTGTGTGTGTATTTAGCACCAAGGACAGGAACTATAATTGTATTCTCTGTGTTTGTTTAGGTGCGTGAGTGTGTTAATGTGTGCATGTTCAGCACTGGGGACAGGACCCAGTGTATTCTGTGTGTGTTGTTGTGTTTGTGTGTATATGTTGTTTGAAAATTGTCTCCACTTCTAATGATATATCTTTCTGAAACTTTCACTGTTTAGCCCAACATGTGGTTGATGTAGATTAACATGCTGACAAATATATTTCATACTTTACAAAATTTTGACCAACCTGACCAATAATCTTACCTTTGGTAGGTCCAAGTCAATGTTGAAGAGTGTTTTTACCAGATCCTCCTTTAATTCAGACGTCTCTTGGGTAAGAGGAATTTTTTCAGATTTCCCATCATACCCTGGTGTTGTCCCAGAATCCTTTGCAGGTGTCATGGCGTCCTGTCCACCTTCTGTCTGAATGGTGTCCCATGCAAAGGTTGCTGCCCTGATCTCAACAGTATTTCTTGAGTCTAACGGTTGTGTAGTAAAGGGATTCATTTCATCCATTTCAAGCAAACTCTGGAAAATATATGAAACAGAACAAACTATTCTTTTATGATTAAAAATAATTGAACAAACTTGAAATACTTTTGCTGGTAGATCAACATCATAAAATGCACTAAATATACATATTTGTTAGTAAAGTACAAAAAAAAATTTCTTATTTTTCTTGTTTTCTTATAGAAATTTTTCTTATGTAAAGATTCAAAAAAATTCAACAAAAATCAAGACACCTTCCACAAAATATGTGTAATAAACTATGTAAATTCTTCACAAAGAGTTCCATTCTCTTTTTTCTTCTGAATCAGTAAAAAAAGAAAAGAAAATATTTCTGGTATGATGATCATCAATGAGAAATTTCAAGAAATTTTAGAGAAACATTTTCTTTTCAGTCTTCACACTGGATTTGTTTCTTGTTAGGTCAAATAAATCATTTTTCAAATTATGGTTACCGTAATATTGGTGTTGATTTGCAGAATTTTATTTACAGAAGCAGTCCCTTTTTCCTGCAAACATGTAACTTAAAGGCACAATACCTCACAACAAGCACATACATTGTCACACATCCATGAAATTACCTTCATACGTTGTAGAGCTACTTGACTCTCTGCAAGTGCTTTGAAAGAGAAGGGGAGTCCACCCATGGCAGAAATCATGCTGTAGTACACAGCCAACAATGTAAAGGCCTAGAGAGAAATAAGGAAATAATGAAGAAAACAATAACTAGAAAGGCCGACATTTGCTTGGGAGCAAATACAGCATATTTCAGTCCATCTCCCTCCCACGCAAAAGTGGACTATTCCAAACTTACCCCAGTGCAAAACTGGCAAAGGTTCTCAAATAAATGAATTAAATAGTAGCTATGTAATTGAGAACAAAGATGCAAGAACAAGCACTTTGAATCTCGAGCTCGAAAGCTTTACTAATCTTATTACAGGTATGCAAATACTAACAATGATGAGATTTGATACATTTTGAAGATGAGATTTGGCACATAAAATTGAATGTGTGAGTCATTATGCACGACTTACGTGCAATGTGACCTCAGGTAACCTGCAATGGAACACGTGTTCTATGGCCAACGGCAGATGGAACGGGCCATTCTTTAGATAGAACGTGGAACGGGTACAGCACCTTTGGCCCTTTTTTGGCCTGAAATAGCCATTAAAGTCCCCCAAATGAGTCATTTGGAAGTGGGGTATACCAAACATGTGACTGCAATTCTGTAGACACATGTTCAAGGTACCCTTATACCGAATTTCAGATCATTTGGTTGTAATACCAGGGCTCAGGATCCAAAAATTCATTTTTTGTCGAAAAATGCCCCAAAAAACCTTCTTTAAAATTTTTCAAAGGCATGTATCAAAAAAATGAAAAAAAAACGCCTGGGGGTATTTGCCCACTCTACCTCCATGCCAAATTTCAAATCATTTGGCTGAATGATGGCGGAGTTGAATCCCTTTGACTGTTTGGCAGGAGAAGGAGAAGGAGGAGAAGAAGAAACATGAGAGAACACAATATATTTCATCCATACCATGGTATGGACTGAAATATAATAAGTGCATAATAGTCACAATGACTGCTGACAATTTCAGACATCACAATTAAAAAAGAAGGGTAATGTAACAATCAAAATACACATTATTAGCCATTTAACCCCCGTTTCCTAAAGGTAGTGTCTCAATGCTAATCATATTAACGAGAATCAAAGAATTCCCTCTGACCCACCATGAGATACTACTGCAAACACAAACAAAAACAACAAAAACAGAACCCTTCTGTGGAAGGATAAAGTACGGCCCGGTCCGGGACACCATTATTGAAGGTTATCACGGCCCAGATATTATATAAATATAGAATACAACACAGTGTATAATATTCCGTATCGCCCGAGGTACCAGCCCAACTGCAGGTCAGATCGCCCGAAGACCAAAGGGAGATCTGATCCATGGGAGGGCTGGCACCGAGGGTGATGCGGAATACACCATGTTGTATTTTATTTATGTCATACCTACCCAAGAAAACGCACCTTTTAATGCAAAATGAGCAAAAATTTGGTGTCCCTAAACCCCAAAATGCAACAACGTCAATTCCAACGTCTGAATGTTGTATTCGAATTTTCAAAAGCAGTGTAAAGATCTGACTCACGGGAGGGCTGGGACTGAGGGTGATACAAAATACCCCGTGTTGTATTCTATATATACCCACCCAAGAAAATATGCCTTTTAATGCAAAATGAGTGAAAACAACAATTGCAATGTTCGAATCCTGTATTCAAATTTTTGAAAGCGGTGCACACCGTTTGGAAAAAACACGTTCAAATTATTCTATGGAAGCTATGAAAGCCCGGGCTGTTCTGTATAACACTGTTTTCACGGCCCAGGTATGATATAATATTATTTATAACAGACCTGCGATGCAGTGAGGTCGTTCCCTGTCATGACAGATACAGAGATGGTGAGGACACCTGTCAGAAGAGAGATGAGTGGAGACAGCCCTATGCTGGCAGTCTTGGCATAAGCTGCCTGCTCCAGAACATGCCTCTCTTCACTTCTCACAGCTGGAGAGAGTAGAAACAAAAGGTCCCATATCAAAATTTGTCCAATAACTTAAACACAAATACACTCAGAAGCTCACTAACCCAACGCACTAACCAAAAGGTCTCGACCTGTTGGACTTACGATATAGGATAACAGGATGATACTAAAACAGTCAAATCTTCTAGCGCAAAAAGGTCATTTAATTTTTAACTTTACATCGAAAAGCTAATAAAAATACTTGTAACAGACTTGTAGGTACACCACAGGACACCATAATCATAGGTAACTAATAGTATACAAAATAATCACAAATCAGTGTGTTCCTGGATTGAGACATAAAGGGACATTCAGTTCAGTTCAGGTCATCCTCTTTTGAGGTGCCATTCATAATGTCTCTCCATGTGACTCTGTCTCGCATGGCGGACAGAAGTTCCTCGTCCCGTAGGCCAACCTCTTCCTCGATCAGTTTCTTTAACGTTAGGCACGGACGTCCCCTCCTTCTTTTTACATCCGGTTGCCAGAGAAGCACTTTGGCAGCCATCTCTTCGTGGCGTACCACATGACCGGCAAGGGCCAGTCGTCTGTTCTGAATGGTCTGGGTAATCAGGGGTAGACCGTTGTAAAGTTCTTTGTTACTCATGCGGCTCTGCCATGGAACATTCAGCACACACCGAAGCAGCCGCGTGTAGTTACCATTCAGTTTCTTAGACAAGGCTTTAGTTAAAGTCCATGAGTCGGAACTTTACAACAAAATAGGCTCTACACAAGACTTAAAGACTTTTAACTTTGTGGTATTCTGGATGGGGACCTTCCACACCTTTTTTAGGGCGTGGCATGCTCCCCAGGCCTGGCCAATACGAACATTAACATCATACACTGAATTACTGTAGCTACCTAAATACTTAAAGTCACTAACCAGTTCAATTACCGTCCCATCGCTAGCAAGTAGTGCCTGTAGCTGGTCACTTGGATTTAAATGCATCATTTTAGTTTTCAAAGAATTAAGGTACAGTCCAATTTCTAGGGTTGCTGATTCCACTCGCTGTAGAAGACTCTGTGCAGCACGAATGGTGTCCTCAAGTAGACAAATATCGTCTGCAAAGTCCAGGTCAGGAATCACAACCGCCGGATACCTGGAGCTCTGTCTCCTCCGCAGTGTAAGACCATCACTGGAGTTGACAGCCTTGCGTAGTGCGTAATCCAAAGTGATTATGAACAGGAAAGGAGCGAGCGGATCACCCTGTAGAACACCTGTTTCGATCTAGAAGAAGTCAGTTTCCCCTTCGGGTGTGATAACTGTAGCTGTTGTATCTTCATACATGATTTTGATGGCGTTTACTATTGGAGGGGGTATGCCATATGCCAAAAGAATTTCAAACATAGTATAATAAAGGGACATTATGCCATACATTTTGGCACCAAAAATTGAAATACTTTAATTAAGAAAAATGTATTCCCCCATCCCTGCCCCTTACCACTGACAGCCTTCCCAAAAGGCATCTCCCAAGCGTACATCTTGATGAGTTTGACACACGTCAGGATCTCGTTCATGGTTCGTACACGTCTGTCTGTGATGGCGATGGCCTTTCTCCGGAACTGTGAAATTTGCTGTGAGATCAGGGCCTGCAAAACCAATGATACTGTCCATTGCAATCATTGTTTAAGCTACATCACAAATCTATATAAGAAAAATTCTTAATGGTTCTTGCTTTTTTTAAATTCAATGAGTCAACTGACATGATTTAAGTGAGTACATGACTATTACACCAACTTCCAACTGTGGAAACCAAACATACACCCTCCCAAAACCACT